CTGTCCTGTCTCCCCTGTTGCCCAATATACATGACCATTGCCAGTACAGTGGGGGAATTTGTGTAGCATCAGAATCAGTGAGAGGCATCTTCCCTATCACCTGTCATTCATGTCACCTATGCCCACAGATACCCTCTAAAAACAACAAAAGCTGACCCTGTGGCTGCCCAACTATGACTCTTCCTAGGAGACTTCTTAGGGCAATGCACTTGCCATCTCAACAGTCCCCCTTCTGTTTCTGAATCTCAGAACCGTCATCTATAAAACTTCATATTGAGGACTTGGTGAGCTAACAGTATGAGAGAGTGGTGGGAGCAGGTGTGTCCCACGGCCTCTATGACATCAGCACTCCAGCCCATTCCTAAAGCCCTCCCTGCCTGCTGTCTTCTGGCGTGAGGCAGGTGGCTCCCCTGGCAGGATTCCCCAGGAGACCCCACACCCTCCTTACCCAGGTCTGAGCATCCTACAAGCCCAGAGTGGAGCTATACCAGGAGCAGGAACATAAAAGGATGTACAAATGACATGGTCTCCACACATAATTTAGCCACTTCAAAGCCTGGACTGCTGCCCATCCACCCTCCCTTGCACTCTGAGCCAGGCAATCCAATGGGAGATGAGTCACAGCTGAATCTGGTGTTAGGCTCAGAGCGAGGCGGGCAGGGTAATAGTGACCTTAAATGGGCCCACACTGGCCAGGACAGGTGGGGTACAGTCCCTACATACAGATAACCATGGACTCAGCCCACCTGAACCAGGTTTTTCCAACGGTCCCATCACTGCCTGGCAGCTCTGGTCACATGCCGGGACCCCAGGTAGACACACTCGTTCACATGGACACCATACATTCAGCTCCTTTGTCCTGGGGACTACAACAGAGTTTTGCCCAAACAGAAGGTCTGATGCCACCAGGCAGTGGTTTTCCTGTAGGTCACTTGAAGATCCTCTAGTGGGAAGAAGGAGGAGAAAATAGAGAGAGAGTTGAACACCCAGAAAAACTCCACTAAAGGCTAGGGATATATATCAGGAATAGAGTGTTTGCCTATTATACCTGGGACCCTAAGTGTGGTGATCCACATTTTCAACCCAGAGTTCAAAAGGCTGAAGCAGGAGGATCTTGAGTTCAAAGCCAGCATGGGCTCCATAGCAAGACCTAGTCCAAAAAAATGAAAATAAATTGAAAAGTTTTTTTTTCAATTAAAAAAAAAGAAAAATTTCCAAAGATAAGTGAAGCCTTTCTTTATGTTGCCAAAGATCCGAGGAGACCCCTCGCAAGCCTGAAAGGAACGGTGCTGGGACAGTGTAAGCAGAGGCTATGTGTGAAGCGCTAGCTGCAGTACACAGTACAGGGAATGGTGGCCTGGATGTGGCACATATCAATGTCACCATAGACAACAGGCTGTGTGGAGATAGTCAAATCTACAGGAAAAGCTTGCTTCTTGGTTGGCATATGGATCATTATTTGAAGGCCGTCTCTGCCTAGTGCCGTATGTTAGTATAAGGCTAAAGTTGACTTACTCTAACATTCCAGGTACTGGTGAAAATGTCCTCTAATCTGAGCCTCAAGCTACTGTGCATAGCGCATGCCAACCCTCCATGCTCCCAAGATGCACTGGGTCTAGGATCATTTAGAGTTGGCTTCAAGGATGTCCACATGCTGGGGAAGTGCCTGAACCGTCGCCAGTAGCCAAGGAGGCTTCACAGAGAGATCTCCTAAGCTGAGATTTGATGGTAGCATAGGAATTTTCCAAATAGACAGCCAGAAACAATATGCCAGGAAAAGAAAACAGCCCCGAAGTCCAAGAGACCCACTGCTGCCTGCTAGTGGGCTAACCAGAACACCAAGAGCAGTCAGCAGATCTCCATGGATACCACGGGCAGTAAAGTGAGGGACACCAGGAGTGGCAAAGTACCTGTGTATACAGCTCTTCTTCTGTGTCTTTTCTGTGACCTTGACCAAGTAAACTATCTTGGGCCTCAGTTTTCTTATCTGCCTAAGGTCCTGTCACAACAGAGCAGGTGATCTAAGTGGCACTTAACAAGCATTTAGCTGATGTGAATCACATGTGTAGAGCCAAGTGTCCCCAGTTAGGATTCCATCACCCACAAGAAAGAAAGAAAGAAAGAAAGAAAGAAAGAAAGAAAGAAAGAAAGAAAGAAAGAA